GACCTACTCCGGCCTAACCTCTTCTGGCCAAACCTATTCACGCTGTCCCTGCTTGCAACCTTCTTTCCGGCAAGAATTATGGGCGGTCCAGCACACGTGAACCGCCATCCTAACTTTCTGCAGCCAATGCTTTGGTTAGGTCCGCTCAGGTTTGTTTTAGGTGAAGAAATGTTGCAACTTGTGTAGGTTAGGCTGAAAGATGTTTGGCCAGATGCAGTATGGCGATGCTTATCTTTAGCAAGCTTATTTTGTGGCTGTGGACATCGGACGCTATGGCTTTGAGCACGGGACTTTATAGGCTGTTATGCCCTATAGCGTTTTTACCTACGGAAAGAAATATGAACTAAGTGTGAAATTCTGCAAAGCTGGCCTCCGGCATGCACCCCATAGCCGAGGACCCTGGTAGTGGCTTTTGATGCAAATTCTAGTAATCCTTCTGACACTTTTTTTCCTGCCTAACACATCTTAACGTTTACTGCCTAACACGGTATACCTGCCAATGATACAAGTTACCACAGGCCGCCATCATAGTACCAGTAACATACTATTACGTACGAATCGAACATTTACTTGATTCTCTTATATTAGGGCAATAGTAAAAGAAATGCAAGTACGTAAGTATGCAAGAAAATAAATGTTAGCGTGCGTACGCACTACGCACGCACGCACGCGAACGGGCACTGACTACGCGAACGGGCACTAACGTCAGTGCCCGTCGGGAACGGGCACGCGTACGGGCACTAACGCGAACGGGCACAGGTGCAGAAAAGCTCGCCCATGAACCTCCGGGAGGATTCTGTCCACTACCTTCCGCTGTGGGCTTGAAGGACAGCCTCTGGGCAATTTATAGGCTTGGTAGGCTTGGCCAAGCCTACAACTTGCTTACTTGCCATACTGACAGGAGACTATAATGTCGGCAAGGTAACTGGCTAGTCGCTGATTGTGATCGAGTGGCCAAGCAGACCCAGAATAACATTAACCCAACTATAATGAGTTTACAGAAGAGTCATATGAATACCTTAAATTTTTTTAGGGTCAAGTTGCCCTCCGTCTTCACCAGGACGACGGTGGTGGTGGTGTGCGTGGCCTCCTCCTGCCTCTTCTCCTTGACGCTCGCCTCGATGCCGTTGTTGAACACCCAGCGTCGGTCCAGGGGCAGGTATGGGGCACACTGGAAACATCATTAATATTGTGATTTTCTTTAATCTGACCAGGACATTCTAAACTGTTATGAAACACTGGGTTGTTGAAACTTGACATGCTAGAGTTATTTAACACTGTTTGGACTTGCAACATCGATTAAATAAGGAAAATTTTTCAACTTGGCACTGATATTCCGCACTGGTATTAAGGGGAGCGTCTACTCTAAAATTAAAAATTTCCACTTTTTCGGTTTTTATACTCATTTTAAAGCTGACATTCTGCCCTATCCAACGGTACCACTGCCATCTCTCTACGTTGATTTATGATTTCAGCCTCCTCCTGCCTCTTCTCCTTGACGCTCGCCTCGATGCCGTTGTTGAACACCCAGCGTCGGTCCAGGGGCAGGTAAGGGGCACACTGAAAACAGCATTTATATTGTGATTTTCTTTAATCTGACCATGACATTCTGCACTGTTGTGCAATACTGGGTTGTTGAAACCTGGCTTGCTAGAGTTATTTAACACTGTGTTTAGACTGGCAACATCGATTAAATAAGGAAAATTTTTCAACTTGGCACTGACATTCCGCACTGGTATTAAACATTGAATTGTTGACACTTGACATGCCGGATTTCTTTGATATTATATATTTAGATCATAGACCTAAGGTATTTTACATTGCATTAAACAGGAAAAAGTTCAATACCGGGGTTATAAGTCAAAAATATTTAATTTTTTAAATCAGGTTAAACTTTTCGCAAGTCTTACGCCCATTTGGTTGTTTCCGAGATTTCTGTCGTCCGCTGACAGCCTGACGATGATGGACACCTGATGCTCCCACACCATCGACCAGAAGAGCTCGTCATCTTCAGTCGTTTGCTGTGGGTCTTGCGTTGCTATGAAGCCGCCATCCTGGAGTTCAGGTGCACAGTTATTAAGTCAAATTCATTTACCAAGTGGAATGTCGCTCCAGAAACACAATCGTGAAAAGTTTGCTCCATAGCACAGAAGTATTACGGTATTGTTCCTTATTTTCATTGATCCAATCAGTGCAAGAAAACAATAAGCCAGAATTCTCCTTGCATTTTCAAAATGATAAATTCGTTTTGTTGCATCACGCTTACATCAATTAATTGTAGCATAATCAATCGAATATTCAATTCAGTGCTCACCACGCGCTCGGAATCTTTCTCTATAAATATTGAACTGATGATGGAACTGGTTTACTCAACGACTTTCATTTAAAACGTTTTTAGGATTTCGTTTAATTTTAAATTGCGAACTTTATTTTGAATAAGAAGCAAAATCAAATGATCCACACGCGCAACATTATTCGAGGTTCTCAGTACCATAAAAAAATTATAAGCGAGCTATGCATAAGACGTGCGGATATTTGTAAATTTTTTATGAAATGTTTTGTTACAAATTTACGTATGAAATAAGTTAACTTAAATTTATTACAATTAACTTGGAATATATTAAAATTAATTATATTAAGCAACATGATTATATTCTAAATGAATTAAAACTGACCGTTTCTCAAAAAAATCTTATTCAACGCAGGCAACATCATCAACGAAACTTACGATGTGGGACGCGTTGATGTATTCCCCTGACTTCAATTTGACGCGGTTTTCATCAACTGGTGCATAAGAATTCGCTATTAGATTACTATTTGTTTGATTTATATTTCTAGCATAAACATTTACAGAATCGAAATTAATCTGGCCTTACTATTAAAAAAAGTATATCAGTATGTCTACTTTTTGATAAAGTATATACATGAAGCATATCTTCGAACTGATAATTTTAAATTAATAGCGACAATGTTCCATGGTAGAAAATGTGTCTTATTATCTTATAATTCCCACGAGTAAACAATAAAAATTAAAACGAGTTGCAATGCTTAGAACAACTCTGAAATTTATCGGGCATTATGTATCCTATGGATCACAAAAGTTTAATAATACGGTTAAACTCACATGGAAGAACGTCTGCGTAGCGGTTTTGGAACTGGTTGCAGGGTTTCGAAGCTTCGGTAGTTTTTTTCGTGGGCTTGGGTAGTCTGTTATATTCGTCAATGATCTGCGCAGACATGAATCTGATTTAAGTTATTGACGCTCCAAATGAAACTCTTAACGAAGAATAGCTCGTCGCCAATGTTTTTGAAGTTTTTTATCTACGTTTTTTTGAAGTTTTTGATGTTTGAAGTTTTTGATCAAAATTGAAGGCAATCCATGGGTTTTGGTACAAATTTCGGAATTTGCGTCGAAATTTAAAAAGCTTCAGCTGAAATTCTAAGATATTTCCATGGTTCTTGAAGGATGAACGGTCTCTCAGGTGTATGCAGTACTGATGAAAGTAACACCGAATAATGACGCTGAAAAGTAGTGAAACTAATCACTCAACACTCAAGAATTTCTCGAATCATGTGATACTCACCTCCTTACTCACTCCCGACGACATCACATCAGGGTACTCATCATAGATCGGTGGTGGCTGGGGTGGAGGGGTCAACAAGGGTATCTCATATTGACTACCCGCGTCCGAAGACATCTGCGTGTATCGCTGGTCAGCTAGTGGGATATTGCCTGCAATCTAAGCGTGTAGAGTGAAAACCTTCTGTATCTTGGAATTTAAGGTTTGATGTATACAGTGTGGCCATGAAAACGTCGCTGTAATATTATTAATAACTTCCCCACTCACCCTCTTTCCCACTCAACCTCTTCCCCACTCACCCTCTCCCCCCCCATCCTCTTCCCCACTCACCCTCTTCCTCACTCATCATCTTCCCCACTCACCCTCTTTCCCACTCACCCTCTTCCCCACTCGCCCTCTTCACCACTCACCCTCTTCCCCACTCACCCTCTTCCCCACTCACCCTCTTCCCCACTCACCCTCTTCCTCACTCATCATCTTCCCCATTCACCCTCTTTCCCACTCACCCTCTTTCCCACTCACCCTCTTCCCCACTCACCCTCTTCACCACTCACCCTCTTCCCCACTCACCATCTTAATTAAGCCGAACATAAAGAAAAAGGCACGCAGCAAGAGTGTCCCAAGAGAGTACTACCAGCCTCTTCGGTCTACTCACTTGTTGAATGGCTTCGTGGTCGAGATGGGTGCACAGAGATGTGCATTAATGACTAATAGTTGCTATTTCAATCCTGATTCTGCACATTATGGGCTGTACCCCCACCTTCAGCGCATCGTAGTTTTTGCTGTTTCGTATTTCTCGCTCCCTCGCCACGGCTGGTGGACGCCGACACGAAGAAGTCGTAGGTCTTGCACCCGGTCAGGTCTGGTACTTCGCACTCGTAGCTGTCACCAGGTGTTGTAATTATCTGGTCATCGTCTGCTTCACTTCCGTTACTCGCGAGCTTCCAGCGGATCGTGTACTTGATGATGCCGTTTTCCTCCTCGGGAGCTTGCCACGTCACCAGCACTGATGTGGAGTTGAGAGCTTCGATGTTGAGATCAGTTGGTGCGCTGGGAACTGTAATGAAATCTCAATGTGAATGCTGATAGGAAGTATGGAAAAACAGTCTTCAAGCCAGTCTAACAGGTAAGCCATATTGACCTATAGTTGAAGCAATGTAGGGCAACATGGGGCAGCGCATCCCCTCCTTTTTTTTAAACAAATTTTTATGAAGTTTTATTTGATACGAGGTGGTTCTTTGTTTTGTTTAAAGGTACAACACTAATGAGGAATGTATGATGTGAATTAGACGCCTATAGAGTTATTAAATTTTTAACGAAACACCATTTTGTAAAAAGTGTCCAAATGGGCCCATTGCCCCACCCCTGTGGCAATGGGCCCATGGGCTTGGGGCAAGGCGCCCACCCTTGGTCCCTTTACCACAATTGCGTATTTTTCGTTTAAAAATAATAAACAACACTTTACAGCTGAAAATCAGAAAATTGTAATAAAAATATGACATTCTTTCATTCATTAACAACTCAAAAAAAAATCATATCCTTAACTTTAAAAAAATATACTCTTGGCTTAAAACTTGGCTGACGTGAAGAAAAATATTTCATCGACATAAAAATATATATAAAATTGACTTGAAAAATATATCCTTGTGATAAAAATATCGTCCTTGACATGAAAAAATGTATCATTGGCTAGAAAAAATATATTTAAATGATCAGAAAAAAACTTCGTTCCAGTTTCGTCCATAATCCAGATATTATGTGCAGAGAATTCGTACCTAATCGTGATTTCAGCCAACACCATAAAAATTCTTCAACTTTTGGCAAGGCTAGAATCAATAACTCGATAAGGGGTCATAAATACGCATAACTAGAAACTAAACCTGCTGCCTTGAGGCGACAAATCACAAAATCATGCAATATAAAGTGTAATTTGAAATTCAAAAAGCTAGTCATAGCTTTGAAAAGGTCATTGAGACAAATCTAATGATGTATAACACAAGACTTCACCATGGGCGCTTTACCCCGTGGCACGAGTGGGCCCGTTGCCCCACTAGGTATCGTTTTAATTTATATCGTGACAACATTTTATTTTAAAAGCTAATAATCTAAACTTGATCTCAAAATTATCCCTATAAATATATTACTTTCAAAATATAATTCACAGTAATTTCATAAGCTTCATCTACAGTAATAGAAAACAGTTTTATTTAGCAGTAAAAAAATTTTTGTCTGGGCTTAAACAGTTACTCACAAATAACTTTATAACGCAAACACTTAGCAAAACGTAAATCAGTACACTTCATCCCAGTGAAACTGTCGACCGGCGGTGGAGCACACGGACCAATATCAGCCATACTTAGCGAGAAACCCGCTACGGGCCCATGACCCGCAATGGGCTCGCTGCCCCATGTTACCCTATAATAAATGAGCCTATTATAATTATTCATTTCCAAACAATTTGATGAATTTTGAAAACCCAATTGGATACTTGTAAGTTTTTGTATCGATTTATTAATATTCATTGATATTTCCACCTATACTAAGTTTTCCCATGAAAATTAAGGACCGTTCATTTGTTCAAGATGGTATCTTTTTACAATATTAATTGTATTACAATGCTTGACCTGCAAGTTTTAGCATAAATACTAATAATTATAAAATTCTACAGATTAGCAGAATGTCTCAAAAAATATACATCCGGGTTAAATACTATTTTATGATGATGTGTTCAAATGTCACTTTAGCCTATACAATTCGCATCGGTCCAAGCGTTTCAATTCCATTTTTGTCAAAATACAAAAATTTTCTGACGAACGAATTTACAATATTTGGAACTGCGATGCATAATCCAACGCAAATACATAGTAACAGATCAAGCCCTGACTTAGGAGACCCCCTCGATCATGACAGGACAGAAAAATGTATCAAGGAGGCAGACGAACAACTTGTGTTGCAGGAAATATGTCGTCTTTATTCGCAAGAAGTGAAGTGTTGAGACTGCTTCGATCTTCGCATTGCAAATTTGATCGGGACATTTCTCAGGAAGCCGAGAAATATATTCGATAATGCAACTGCGACCTAATTTCATCCAAATTTGAACATGCACAAATATTTTGATCTAGTCAAGCACAGTAAAACTTTGCAGAGAATAAGTGCTGATAAATAAGTCAGCACAATTAATAAAGAAATCTTTTTTTTTTGTTGATGTGTAACTCGTTAATAATAAAATATGTACCTGCGAATAGTTGTGTTCATCTAACTCATACACAAGTTGCCTCACTTACTCACCATCATCTTGCCTCACAATTTTCCCCACTCACCCTCTTCCCCACTCACCATCTTCCAGCGTTTCACAATAGCTTGGCAGTGAAGGCTCCCCCTTCCCAGCTGCAGTCGCCGCCACAACAGAGAAGGAGTAGTTGCTGTACGGCGTCAAACCAGCGATATTTATCGTCGTAGTCTCGGAATATGCAGAATTAACCTCCAAGGTTACGTGGTTTCCCCACATGACCTGACCGCCGTACACAACTGTGTAGTTGACGACCTCGCATTTAGTGGCAGGTTTGGTCCACTTCAGGGTGACGCTACGACTTGCCACGGACGAAACTTTAGGATGTGATCCCGCTGGCGGTACTAGGTGTAGGAATTCAAGAAAATGTTAACACTTCTCCTAAACTGCCGACCTTCCATCTTGTGTGCATTTTTAATTATCAAACGATGAAAGACAAAATTATTGCTAATTTTCAGTTACTTAAAATTTTCCATTTATTATGAATATAAATTAAGGTTGTTAGTTTTTCAATCAGTATATACCATTGTATGGAAATATATTGAACTATTGCTCACCAGCCTCGCTAGTTTTCTTCTTGGACCGAATTTTGTTTCCAGGTCCAGCGCCTGTTGTGGCCGCCACGGTTACGTTGTACGCATCACAAGCGTTCAGGTTCGTAATTTCTAACCGAGTTTCGGTGACCTTCTGAACTTTTGCCCTGCCTCCCTTGCTCCTCCACCTCACTTGGTAGTCCCCAAGCTGGCCGTTCTCCTGCGTGGGTTTCAGCCACGTCGCTGTGAAGGATGTCGCTGTCACGGCCTCGAAAGTCAAGTTCAGTGGAGCTGAAGGCTCTGGTGTGGCGAAGGAAGATTATTGGAATTGAAAGTTTGATGCGTACAGTGTGATCATAAACAATGTAGCTGTATTATTAATTCATTATTACTAACTTCCTCACTCACCATCTTCCTCACTCACCATCTTCCTAACTCACCATCTTCTAACTCACCATATTCCTCACTCACCATCTTCCTCGCTCACCATCTNATTATGTTTTATCGACGAAGAACAGGAAAAATTACAGATTTAAAACTCAATTTCTTTCGATAAATGCACATCTCGATAATATTTCAGAGATAATGTTAATGAAATCGTAGATATAATTGGATATAATAGTAGATAATTGGTTAAAATCGTAGATAATTGATGAAATCGTAGATAACTATCCCAGTTGGATTTTCAGGTTGATAAGACTTAACTAACAGTTCCGCTAACATGGTAAAATAATTTTTGAATAAGTGTTGTAAATAAACAATTATGATACGAAAACAATAATGTATGGAACGGAAATGCACTAAAAAAACTGTTTGCACACTTTGACTCCGTTGTTTGCATCCGTTGAGGATAACGGATTAGCCACGTTATTGCAGTTACGCAACTATCAAGGCAAGATTAGGGACTTGTCTAATGAAACAAAATAGATGAAGGCAGGTACTGTTTACTCATAATGATTCCTGATATCAATACGCAACAATTTCGCATGTACTAAATACTTTGCACGTTTGTGAAACCACATCTCATAAAAAATATTGATATCAGAAAATTTGCTTGTTGACTGATTAAAACGGACCTCTATTCAATTAATTATTTTCGCTATTAGCTAGGCCTCTAGCGCTTGTATTCTCGTATCATGTCAGTTAGGCCAAATTATCTTTATCATGTCAAATATGTTCAAAATTTTAGTTGTTCCCACTCACCCTAGCATGATTCGGCTCGCACTAGGGTGGCTGCATTAGCGAGTTGATAACTGATAGTTCTAAGTATGTTGATTACTTAGTCCCTCAGTCATAACGCTCCAACTCTAAACTCGGCACACTGGGCGAAAGCAGTGTAAATTTCAGCGGCAGCGTCTGGCAGCGTAGTGACGTGGCCGAAGGTGCGCGAGAATAGTGAAGTATGAGCTGCACATTAATTGTGCATGGATTTTTTTAGTTACGTCTAGGCAAACATTTACATTGCTATGTATTTAAATTCTCTCTATTTCCCGAGTTATCGCAAAATTTCTCATCTTCACTGCAGACAGCGGCTTATTTTTCACTAATAGATAAACAGTTCGCTGCCGACAGGAAAAATTCAGTGCACTGCGAACAGTGTTATCTGTTCGCAACAAGTGACATCGATCTGTTCACTTATCGAATGATTTCCGAAAAAATAATCACATGGTTACTTTGGGAGGCAGCTGAGAGCTTTCTCTTCTCTTAGCTAGGCCCAACTGGCCGCGCTCATTTCCCCAAAACAGAAGGGGAGGAAGGAACGGATATATACAACGAGAGTGAAGGAATTCGCCTGCTGCGCTCAACCGCATGAGGCTCAACCCAATTCCCTCCCTACCTCCCAATTGTTTTGGCATTTTCCTCCCCTACCTCAATCGTCTTCTGTGTTATTATCTCAGCCGGTTATCGTTGCCTCAACAACGCTGCCGAGGGATGTATGTGGTACGGTATCGCCGTACCAAATTGTCACGGCATATACTGTGCGCTGTAAAAATACCGTCAAAAGTTTAGCAATAAAGACATACAAAAAATTCTAGCTACAAATTATATTTTACAGTCGCATTCACGGACTTTCGAAGTCCGCGATACGCTATCAAAGCAGAACTGCGTGTATAGACTCGAGACAACAGTGAGCATTGTGTAACTGAGGACAACGGTGGAACGGATGAGTGGGGTAGGTGAGGGTTGAGGAGTGATTTACTGCTGTATAGGCTGATGGCAGTGTCAGAGTGTGGTGTGTCCCCTCGTCCCCTCACCTACCTACTATAACTATTCATAACTGTATAGTTATTAGCTGCAATGTATAGTTATTGGATGCACTGTATAGTTACACGCATCTTCGTATTATTATATAAATTTGTTGAAGGACTGACTGACGGGTATCATGCATTAATAGATATTGTAACATAGCAATGTTAACTAATTTATAATTTGTAACATTGAAATATCAACGTTATTTGTATATGTACTCATGAATTCATGAAGAACACCATCGTTAATATCGCTCCCAATATTTTTACTAGTTGCAAACGGATTATTTTGTAATGATTTTATTTATTTAATTAGAAGCTCTTCCAAAAACATCAATCAATCGCAATTTCCTAACCATAACCACAGACTACACAGGAATTCGAGCGGGAAGGATGTCTCTTCCCCTCTCAAAGCTCACCCTCATCACATTCCCTACCCACCCAAATTGTAAACAATCATCTTTGTTTTAAACCTAACAGCCGACCACAGTGTGAGGCTGTGAGATTTATGCCACTACCACTCCGACAATCTTACTACTCAACGGAAATGAGCATCGGATCAACATTTCTGCTAAATTAGAAATTCGAGTGATTTAACATGATGGATTTCCAACTTAGATTGTATTACCCTTTTCTTGTGCTAGAGATTTTTTTTTTACTAGAGATTGAAAATTTGCATATCGACATGAACGCTCCATTGATTGCATTGTTGTTTGAATTGTGTTGTTTATGCATTCGTATGCTTCATATTTTGAAACGCAATTAAGATTGTTTCTCCGTAATCATCGTAACGCAAGCCATTTATTTACGACCAGCATAACAATATTTACATATTATTGACTATGCATGCAAACATGTATTGTCAGTCTTGGCCTTTTAAAAGTCACACCAGCACCAGACAAGCACTTTGAAAGCTGAGTGGACTGCAAAGTGTGTGGGGGGGAGGGAGAATGTTTACCGCGGACCCACAGAAGATTTATTACCATAGAACAGACCTTCCTTTCCTGCAAAGTACGACAACGGAGGGGCAAATCTCGATTAAATCTACGGAAAATTCACGGACCTGTTGTTAAAAACGAATATAACTACCACCAGAAAAATGATTCAGAAATGCTTGGTATAGCGATCAATGAAGAATAACGAGTTAAACAAACTGGTATCGCGTAAATGTTAGAAAAGTCGCTCGTTTTACGATCCTCATGGTTGAAAATTTTCGTTAGCGATAACACTGGTAATACAAAGTTTACATAATTTATCTTTATGTCCACAGATTGAAAATAATTAGCCAGGATAGCATTCCAAATTTCATATTTTTATCTTATTTATGAGGGGAGTTATCTGTCGAATTCATAGTTAATAATCTCCATAGACGACTACCGCGGCTGAGCGCCTTGATGCATAGTCTTAAGGTTAAAGTTAGGTTAGGATTAGGGTGTTAGGTTTGTTGTGTTTGTTTCCATTTATGCATCGTTAGTTATATTTACTTTCAACTGTTTATTTATTGAAAATCCTTGGTCTGGAAAAGCTGATTGAAGAACGATCACGTGCTAAGTGTCGGGGAGACTTAAGTTTGTGAAGAAATAGAATGTGTCCCCAACAATATATTAGGTGCAGAAACGAAATTATTGAATTTTAAATAAAAAATGATACTTTTTTGACGAGAAAATAACCCGGAAAGCACATATTTCAAGCAGGACATGGTAAAGATTAGTAGGAAGCAGGTCATAGTAAAGATTAGTAAGATTAGTTGGAAGCTCAATGCCGACTCCCGTAAACCCAACTCGTGTGAACGTGTGCTTACTCGACTGCTCGCTGTGCTTGGGAGCCGCCGAGCCGCTGTGCTTGGGAGCCGCCGAGCCGCTGCGCTTTAGAGATGCTTTACCTTTACAGACTACGTCGACGTGGCTTTAGAGTTTAGATAAATGAGGCGATTTGAGAATATTGTCAATATTATATAACACACTTAATCGATCCATACAATTTATACTTAATGATACAATAATTAGTCTGAATTGATCGCAATATTTCCAACACAGCCAGTTGGCGTATACGCAAAATTCGTAATAAATTTACTCAATATCTCATGTGAACATAAAAATTTGGATTCGCTGTCATCTTTTGAGAAACTATTTTTTGCGACAAAAATTTTCCATTGTTCTGCGGACAATTTATATCAGAAGCAGTGTGATACATGCCCAGTGGCTTCACTTTGGTTTGGAAAATTTGTGAACACCTTGCTTCTATCTGTCAGTTTTACTCGTACCTACTGAATTCACGCTAAATTTTAGCTAAATTTTCTTAACAGAATTTAATCGTAAATGCTAAGCACACAGAACGTTTCGTCTCAGAACGCCGAACGAACGCCAGAACGCCAAGCACAAGTCATGCTTTCGTCTTAATCTCGAATGACCTGCAACCCAAAAACACCTCTCTACGTTGGATAAATTACAGTGGCAAATACCTTCGTGCATTGTGCAGTTTGGGCAAACGGTTATCGGTGGCTCACAAGAGATTTGTCTGCAATGTGTCATAGATGTTTCAGACCCTACAAATCTTCGATGATTCATCGATGACTCCCACCTATACTCGCCACTTTTTCGATTTATTGGTGTTTTATTGTCGATTTTCGGCAGATCTGGCCACCCACCGTTACGCCACCTATAATCTACTATCGCCACCTATTATCATCGGTGCTCCACCCTTAATTTTTATTTGGGAATTGCATCATATTCAGCAACTAATAATTTATCCGCTGAGCTCAATTTGATATTTCATTGATAGACCATCTCATAGGTTGATTTATTTAAAACACGTCTGTTTTCCTCCTAAATATCATTTAACATCTGGAATTTGTTTTGCCTTTCTTGACGTTAGATTCATATAAACGTGTTACATTCTTTATCTTTAAAGAATTCTTCACCTCAGAGCAGCATATTTCTTTTCTTTATTCTGACAAAGAAGGAAAAATGACATCTCCTAAATGAAACAATTTTTAGAATTGATTTCATAACTTTATTGAACGTTGACACATGTTTAAACACTTAAATACTGGAATGGACAATGGGAACGCTTTTGTTTGCTCCTTTGGTCCAATTCAAAAAATATTTCAATGAATTACGTTATCCTAGCTTTGTCGTGATCGTCTGGCCACAAAATAATTAAATCAACTCGTAGCTTGATAGACGATTAGTTTGCATTGCTTTCAATCATTCTACTTATATGCACTAATTGCAAAACAACATTCATAACCAATTACTAACATTACAATTAGTACAACTTTAACATAACAATAACTAGCACAACACTTTCGTAGAGGCCATAACTGTCAGTCATATTATCTCAACCGTTCATGTAAGAAGAGACATGTTTAGCGTGATTTTCATGCTCAGACCGGCACATGCAACAAAATGATTACACTATTTGACGACGTGAGCATGGGTGAATGGCCCTGATCAACTAATTACATAAACTCGAGAATTTATTCGAGCTGCCATTTACGCCTGACAACTCATCCATTCTCGTCTGTATCTTCCAATCTACAGCATAGATATAGGTGAGTCACATCGTGCTCCAGTGCAATATTTAACCATTCAATGACAAATGTGATGGATTAATAACAGAACTGACCAATTAGTCATTGTTTTTCATATCTTACGTAATTACCATTGCCAAATAAATTTAATGTGCTTAATAATATTAGCTGTAAAGTCTCATGTGTGCCATTACTTGTCTGATTTAATATCACAAAATGTATTATTTGGATATCATCTATTGTTTTTACTTTCTAGGTTTCAAAAGAGATACCGAACTCACTCGGCTCAATTATTTAAATGTAACCGCCTTTTGAGTTGAGGGAATAAGTGATGACAAACATAATTTCTGAGAGAGGAAATTTGCCGAGAGATGCACAGTACAAACTGTTGCTAGTTGTGGCTTTGATAGAGAATGTATTGAAAATTAAATATTTTAAAACGATTCAAAATTATATTAGAGAGGGCAAAATATCTATTCCTAAAAATTCTCGCCTCTACGTAAGGAAACTATTTAAGGTAACACATCGAATAAGAATTGAAACGCCGCAGCAAATGAACAATTGGCTAAAAAACATTTAGTTGAACATACTGACGAAATTGAAAACTCCAATCCACCTGCTGCTACGTGTGATGATTACGACGAAATGTTTTGATTTTTGATTGGGTCAATGAATGTAATAAAATCAAAACATAAATCGTTGCTGAAATTACAAATTCTTTCTGGATATTTTCTCCATAAATATTGTAGGATTATGACGAATTTGCTTTAGGAAGTCGACGTTTGTCCTTACAAACAGTGATAGCTGAAAACCTAGGTATTTCTATGTCATATGTAAATAGATTGCGTTGGGTAGGAAAATTAGAATCAAAATTTGAAAATTTTGCCCACGTCTCACTCCCCCTCTATGAACTTAGAAAACAGAGAATGCATACAAACTTGTTCTAACATCACCTCGACCTAGCCGCCGAGTACATCACCTGTAAAAATTTACATATATATTGATGGCAAATTAAGCATTGAAAGAAAATTGGTTTTATTTATGTTCATTTGCAATTTAATTATATTTTCAAAAAATTCACAAATTCTATTTTGATTTTATAACTCTTATTCAAGTGATTCATATGTCCCTATCGATTATTACCGATATTTCCATAATGCGTTCAATAAAAGCTTCGGGCAACATTTCTATTATCGGAATTTCCTCCTTCGCAGTTCCAGCACCCACCGCGCCTCCGCCAACAAACTTAAAAAGAAACAGAAAAACTTCTTCTATTAAGGGTCGCCAACTCCACCTGTCCAGGAGCTACAGCAACCTGCCGCACTGTAAAATGTCGCTAGTTTTCTTCAAGTCACGACAACGTTACGTAGAGACTCTTAGGCCGGTTATTAATTATTGTTCATTGATTTCGCTCCCTTGCAAAGTAGATTATTTCAAGCACCGCGGCAAATTATGCTTCGGTTGACGAGCCACATCTCTTCAGCTCAGCCATGTTCAATAAGGGAATTGTTATCGTATAGACATTAGACAGTCATTGAAATCTTGCATTCTTTGCACAGCAAATTGTCGGTGACTGCAAGAAACAAACATGTCAATCTTAATGTCAGCTAATTTTTTAATGAATTCCGATACGCCTCATGAGAGGCCTCTCTTACTACATCCTTAATATTTATTTTGCTCAAAGTTATGGCAAGAATTTAAAAGCAAAAAGATTTCAATTAAATTTACCCTACCTTCATTGAAAAGATTCATACCATAATCTGTTTAACAAATTACAACAAATTTAAGCTCAATCAAAAGAGAAAGCCAAACCGCTTGCAGGTCATATCCTCTTAAAATTATTAATAGATGGCGATTTGTGAAACTTATAGCGGCTATTCTGCGCTTGATTCTATATGCTAAGTATTCATTGAATTAGCCATTTGAGTGAACCACCAGAGGATAGCAAATGTTCGACTTCTCTTTATGCATCATCTGGAATAATGTATCGGGCAGAAACAATTTCCAACAGCGTCAAGTGCGTATATAACGAACAAAGACGAGCTAATCGAAGAGTAATTCATGCAAACCCTGTCAAGGCCTGTCTCCATAGCGCCTGGCGCACAACTGATCAGCGAGCGAGGAAAGCCTTCTGGCTGCGGGAGGGAGGGAGCCGGGGCGCGGTGGAATAGGTTGGGCCAGATGCGCTTCTGCCTGTGGCGTGTGGTGGGATTACACCAGTCAAATGCGGAGCGGAGCAGGTTTACGGTGATCCGGCGCGGTCTGCGGATAGTAAGGCTTACGGCACTGTGAGAAGTGATAGTATGGGGTAAAATTTTGTGGAGTAGGACCTGTTGACAATTACCTAATTGATGCAGCAGGTTGGGGAGTGAGGGAGGTGTTGCTTAAAGTTGGTGTGGGGAGATGACTCAGTTACCTACAGCTTCTTGGGTGAGGCTGAGTATAGTTATTCCATTATGAGGGCAGGCGTTGGCGCTGGGGCTTGTTTATGAGTTAAATTTTTGGTCCACAGCTGCGCAAACATTAAACATTCTTATAGTTAAATGTGATGGAAGTTCAATGAGTCTAATGCAATAAAGGAAAAATATAATTATGATTTAATCAATAATCAGTAATATGACAACAGCAGGCAGCGACCAAGCTTACCGTATTTCTTATCTATTTAATTATTGGGTTTGTATGCGTATGATCTAATAACCGACTATCGAGTGAATTATTAGCGCAATTTATCACACGAAATTGTTGCATTGCAACTCAACCTAATATTCTTGCCCTTTTCTGGACATTGTTCATTTTCAACAATTATTGAAGGACAATTATTTTCTAAACTAGCTATTTTGAAATTTAGGAAGTACTGAAGCATAGACATCAACTTGATTTTATTTTCCCCGATATTTTCATTATTATAATTTTAATTATTTTAGTTGTTTCGTGTTTTTTTCCCCGAAACATTTAGTACAATAATGAAGTTCATAGAAATTAAATCATTTACTTTTTCAGATTGATTTTCCCTGTCCAACAAAAAGTTTTTATATAATTTAGACATAATACGTAGAAATTTCTTTAAGAAAGATTACTATATAGAAAGGCCAAAATCTTATGTTTTAAATCCAAAGTTGAACTGGAATGCAGAAATAATTGTGATGCATAATTATAGATAATTTCCAAAATGTCCATTATTTTACTAAGTATTATTACACTAATAAATCATTAGAGTTTGGCATGTTAACGGAAATATGTTGTATTCAATGCACAAACAATGATTTGAATAAAAAACTATCTATTGCATTTTTCGTCATTGACTTACCTTCACTGAGAATTTTCTTGTTTTCAACGTAAAAGTCGATGCATTCATGGATGTAGCAATACATCCTCTGCGGGACAAATTGTTTCATAGATTTGTTGTGTTTTTCCTTCAGTGAATAATTTTTATTTTTATGGACATGCTTTCTATTGAAATTATCAATTAGCTTGCTCTCAATGGACAATAATTTGCATGCAATAAATATATATGATTACTGAAAAATTTCCTCAGGAGTGGTTTAAATAACTTTTCAGAGTGATGACGATTTGCTTTGCGCACGGTTCATTGATATTTTAGATATGATTACATATGCATCTAATATCACAACAATATGCGTCAAAGACCAGACAGCATTTAACTTCAATAGCCAATTCTGAACCACAGTATCATACATTGTAAACGTAAAAAAATCACAGTTCAACGCATAATGCATAACATTCGATTCATAAATCCCCAAATAACAACTCTTCTCAAGAATCATATATGTAGAGCTTTCTCTCGAAGTTAACTTCGCTCACCAGAGTCTGGACGGCGAGCATGCGCTGGTGTCGCAGTTTCTCCACAGTTGCGAAGACATTTGGCTTCTGGTTTCGGTCAACGTCGTCCATCAGCTTCCAGACAGCGATGAAAGCTCCGCTGCGGTTCGCTCCAGCTCTTCAATGATGAATGTATGTTTTATAATAAATTCAAATAAACTTTAATTGCTGTGATATGTTTATGTTTTTCGGGATCAATATAGGGACAAGTAATTAGTCAAAGGTTTTTGTAAAGCAAATTACTGGTACATAAGAAATGAAAATTTTCGAGTAGTGTCATTAAGAGCCAAAAAAATCGCAATAAAATCACTAAAAACTTTTCATTTCAAACCAAAGACAACTATGAATTTGAGATAAATGTTAAAATCAGCGTATAACCAAAGTTAACAAAAACACGCCAATAAAGTAAGAAATTGGAACATACCATTAATTAAACTTTCCAACAAATTTTCCATTAATTCAACTCCGAACGACATGTAGATGATATTCACTCAACAAACAACCCATAACTCAACAATTAACTCATAATTATGACTCACCCGCAGTGCACTAGGACCCTATTTTCATAGTCTTCTTCATACAGCATGGAGTTTGATTTGCGTTCCCTGATCGTTTTCAGGACTTTGAGGAAGTTCATCGGCTCGGGAGGATTGCCTTCGTTCCAGTTTTTCAGGTGATAGTGCACCACCTGCCGTTCCCCGATGTCCTGTATATATAATTCCAAAATACATTATCAAGAGCTTGTTATTTTTCTAATATTATTTCATCTGCAAAATTAATCAACAGCCGAACCAGCAAAAATAGTTACGAGTTTAATACTTCGTCTGCCAATCGCTGCGGCCCAGGTCGTCAATACGGGTCCAAGTCGTAATATTTATCGTATGGAATAATTTTCTGGGTGCAAAATAATTCCAGCGATTGCCGCAAGATTTTAAATTTTAATTATTTTGCACTCCAGATGTTAACAATTTATTGCGTTTCAAAGCAACGTAGATCTATCAAGCTGCGTTGCTCGCAAAAGCAAAACTTCGATCACTGATCAGACGCCAATTAAGCTTCTTAAGAACATTAATATTATGCAAACTTAATCAGCTCGTCTATTGTTTGGTAAATTGTTTTGCTCAATAACATTTACATAGTTTTATACAATAACTATTCTCAGGTATAACTAATATAAACAGTATTTAAAACATCATTTTGATTTTACATTTCCCCATCATTTCTACCGCATCATGTCTTCTTTACTGAAACAAAATTTCGGTTTTTCTCAATCAACCTCTCCATGTAATCCAAGGTAATCTCTTCTCGTACCCCTAGGTATTACTTTCCACATCTCAAGGTACTCTCAAGGTTACTCATGGTACTCTCTCCACTTCCCTCAAGTTAGTATCCTCGTTCACCGAGAAGCCGCTCTTTACGTACTATCCTCAAATCAGATGAGATACCTACCCTCCAGCAGACATTTGCCGCTGAAACTATTTTGATTGTGATTTGATTTCGTTGGAACAAAGTCTTAGGAACGCTATTTAAAAGTCAGATGCCAGGTAGTGCTCTGGTTTAGCCATAGAGCTACTCCCCAAACAAAATTTAGATGCAGGGGCGACTCTGAAATAGGGAACGCCTAAAACTCAGAAAGCACGTATATCAGCTTCTCTATATCCTCTTTTCGGTCAACATTCCTACCCCAAGTCAGACAGTTACGACAGTCTGGCCTCGACTCTGGCGACTACTGAGCGGTTCGCTTGGGGATGTTCCCCGTATCGGGCAGCTTTGGCCGACGAGTCTGACAATGTGATAAAAAAAATCGCCCCCCCCTCCGCAGTGAGGGGAATCGCCTCCCTCCTCCGCAGTGAGGGGAACGAATGGACAATTGAATTTATACGTGATTTATTATTAATGCGTGATTCTGTAACTCGCTGAATACAAAGAGCATGCTAAGAAAAGTCAGAATCGTGGGTAATAATGCTCTTGGGAATGACATTTTTCCCCCACAACCGAAGAAATGATGCAAAAAGTTATCGATAATTAACTAATGGTAACAATAACCATATCAGTGTTGTGCAGTCTCTACTATGAGGAACGCTGCAACACCAAAATTTAAAAAAACATTGTAAAATGGACGAAAAATTAAACGATGATGTTTTCTATTTTAGATTGTGTTGAATTAACTGATAACGGCTTTCCACTCTATGCAACCTTATAGGTAAGCATTTACAGCCATAGAGAGCACACAATTGTCTAGTCAACATCGGTAAGCAGTGAAGAGTTATCTGAGATTACACTATAAGCTCAACTGCAGTCCGGCGTAAGATGAACGACGAGCTGCTCCCAAGTCTCGAACGCGGGGCTGGACGATGTATAGCCTGAGCCTCATCGTTGCACGCTACGACGACGCATGTGCTACTCATAATTTTTCAAACTAACTGACGACGACTATGGCTAAAAAATAAAATTTCCTTTCTTGACTATGCACAAGATCAATTTCCAGTTTCTCAAATAAATACTAATTTATAAAAATACACAGTTAAAATTAAATCCATTCCTGGGATTGATGAGCCGTACGCAACGTCAACTCTGGTTCTTCGCTGCTGAGAAAGGTATGCTCGTCTTTCCATTATTCGAAGAAACTAGATAATCGCGATTTTTCTTAATCCTTCAAAAAAAAACTAATTTTTTGAAAGGTTGTTCCCAAACTGTGGTAAGAGGGGAAATTCCAGGAGAAATTTTGGGTGGAGAAATGTTGCAACTTGTGTAGGTTAGGCCGGAAGAGGTTTGGCTAAATACACTATGGCCATGCTTACCTTTTTGTGGTTGTGGACATTCGGCGCTATGGCTTTGAGCACTTGACTTCATAGGCTTCTATATGCCCTCTTACGTTCTTACTGCGGAAAGAAATATGAACTAAGTGTGAAGTTTGGCAAAGCTGGACTCCTGCATGCGCCCCTAGTCATCAATGTAATCAAGGAGGCTGTTCCACATGTCGGCGACTCGAAGCGTGAATAAATGTTGTCGCGTCGATGAGTTGCAACGCAGTTTATTTAATTTATAGCCGAGGGGGTGCAGCCGTAGGCCACAAATTTTACTCAAAATTAAGCCCTGGAGCCAACGCCCAGTTTCACCATACATTACCTTTACTCAGCCTCAGAGCTAGAAGCCGCAGACTACGCTTAAACTCCGTAATCCAGACAAGCGACACACTGCCGACATATAATAGCGCCGTAGGTTGTCAGCCACTGCTCAAGCATGCTCGCTCATAAGCAGGCAGTTCCTCATCTGGCTAGACCTACTCCGGCCTAACCTCTTCTGGCCAAACCTATTCACCCTGTCCCGGCTCGCAACCTTCTTTCCGGCAAGAATTATGGACGGTCCAGCACACTTGGACCGCCATTCTAACTTTCTGCAGCTAATGCTTTGGTTAGGCCCGCTCAGGTTTGTTTTAGGTGAAGAAATGTTGCAACTTGTGTAGATTAGGACGAAAGATGTTTGGCCAGATGCAGTTTGGCCATGCTTACCTTTATCAAGCTTATTTTGTGGCTGTGGACATCGGACGCTATGGCTTTGAGCACGTGATTCATAGGCTGTTATGCCCTATAGCGTTTTTACCTACGGAAAGAAATGTGAACTAAGTGCGAAATTCGGCAAAGCTGGCCTTCGGCATGCGCCCCATAGCCGAGGCCCCTGGTAGTGGCTTTTGTTGCAAATTCTAGGAATCCTTCTGGCACTTTTTTTCCTGCCTTACACATCATAACGTTTACTGCCTTACACTGTATACCTGGCAATGATACAAGTTACCACACGCCTCCATCATAATACCAGTAACATACTATTACATTCGAATCGAACATTTACTTGATTCTCTTATATTAGGGCAAGAAAAAAAAAGAAAAGCAATTACGTAAGTATGTAAGAAAGTAAATGTTCGCATACTTACGCACGCACGCACACGAACGGGCACCGACTGCTTCTGGCATATATTTAGTTATGCAGGTTCAGAAAACCTCGCCCAGGAACTTCTGGGAACCTTTTGTCCACTGCCTTCCGCCGTGGGCTTGAAGGACAGCCTCTGGGCAATTTATAGGCTTGGTAGGCTTGGCCAAGCCCACAACTTGCCATACTGTCAGGAGACTACAATGTCGGCAAGGTAACTGGCTAGTCGCTGATTGCGATCGAGTGGCCAAGCAGACCCAGAATAACCTGAACCCAACTATAATGAGTTTGCAGAAGAGTCATGAGCATACCTTAAATTTTTTTAGGGTCAAGTCGCCCTCCGTCTTCACCAGGACGACGGTGGTGGTGGTGTGAAGTCTTAAGGTTAAAGTTAGGTTAGGATTAGGGTGTTAGGTTTGTTGTGTTTGTTTCCATTTATGCATCGTTAGTTATATTTACTTTCAACTGTTTATTTATTGAAAATCCTTGGTCTGGAAAAGCTGATTGAAGAACGATCACGTGCTAAGTGTCGGGGAGACTTAAGTTTGTGAAGAAATAGAATGTGTCCCCAACAATATATTAGGTGCAGAAACGAAATTATTGAATTTTAAATAATGGATTGCCTGACTGAAACGTACTAATTAAAAAACACTTACTGATTCCTGGAACGAAAATGCAGGTGAGAAATTTTTGTTGCAGATTATTAGAATTATTTGAAGATAGGCTGAGTGAGATAATGAAAGCATGAATATATCACCTGAAGGAGGGAACGAGGTGGTCGCCGGACAATCAGTGGTCGAGTTCTCGCTGAAATTTTCATCCGTAGTGCAGGGGAAAGAAATGCCCGCCTCAATTGCATCATATCCAGCAACTAATAATTTATCCGCTGAGCTCATTTTGATATTTCATTGATATAGACCATCTCATAGGTTGATTTATTTAAAACGTCTGTTTTCCTCCTAAATATCATTTAACATCTGGAATTTGTTTTGCCTTTCTTGACTGTTAGATTCATATAAACGTGTTAAGTGAATACATCCTTTATCTTTAAATAATTTTTCTCCTCAGAGCAGCATATTTCTTTTCTTTATTCTGACAAAGAAGGAAAAATGACATCACCTAAATGAAACAATTTTGGAATTTATTTCATAACTTTAATGAACTTTGACACATGTTTAAACACTTAACTACTGGAATGGACAATGGGAAAGCTTTTGTTTGCTCCGACAGACAGAATATTTAACGTTACGTTATTTCGTTATCCTACCTTTGTAATCCAATCGCCACAAAATAATTAAATAAACTCGTAGCGTGATAGACGATTAGTTTGCATTGAATTCAATCAGATTTTATTTATATGCACTAATTGCAAAACAACACCCATAACAATTACTAACATTACCATTAGCACAACTTTAACATAACAATTACTAGCACAACACTAAAACCTGCAGGTCAACCTTTGATCCGAAGTCAGAGAGAGAGAGATTTCAACTTCGTGTCTCGGTCATATTTTCTTTTATTTCATAAAAATAGAATTTGAGAAGAAACTGCCACAGTTTTAGGCCAGTATATAGTAAAACAAGTGTATCATCACAATCTGCATAACCAGTTCAAATAATGTTACCGAGTATTCACCCGCAATATTATTTCGAATATTTGCCATCAAAATTTTGTAAACGACCATTTACCTAGGGTCCACCATGTACTCTTTTAACCGAGAACTCAGGGCTTGAGCGAGTGTTTTGATGTATGATACTTCTTTGGGATGTATAATCAAATTAAATTTTGGAAATACTTTTCAGAACCGGGGCGATTATGACAGCTTCACATATATTGGATACATACAGAGCTGCCACCACTGTCGCAGGATACACTTACCCGAGCGAGACAGAAAAAGGAATGCTATCCTCAGCCAGCGTTGGAGTAATATGCACGGCTGAACGCAGTAAATGCTAACACGCATGCCACACATCCGTCTGATATGCGTTCACAAGACGGTGCTAAGCTGCGGACCTGAGCTACGTTCATTACAGCACCGTTAGGAAGGCACCGTTAGGAACAGTCAGTCATGTTATCTCACTGGCTCATGTAAGAAGAGCCATGTTTAGCGTGATTTTCATGCTCAGACTGGCACATGCAACAAAATGATTACACGATTTGACGACGTGTGCATGGGTAAATGGTCCTGATCAACTAATTACATAAACCCAGGAATTTATTTAAAATCCCATTTACGCCCGACAACTCAACCATTCTTGTCTGTATCTTTCTATCTATACTGCATTGATTTAGGTGAATCACATTGTGCTCCATTGCAATATTTAACCATTTAACTGCTAATGTGATTTAATTCAATGTAAATTCAATGTGGTTAATAATATTAGCTATAACGTCTCATATACATTGTATGACAGTACTAGTCTGATTTAATATCACAAAATGTATTATTAAGATATTATCTATTATTTTTGCTTTCTAGTTTTCAACTGAGATTCCGAGGCTCATGAGACTCGGCTCAATTATTTTAATGTAACCGTCATTTGAGTTGAGGGAATAAGTGATGACAAACATGATTTCTGCGAGAGAAAATTTGCTGAGAGATGCACAGTACAAACTGTTGCTTGTGACTTTGATAGAGAATGTATTGAAAAATACATATTTTAAAACTATTTAAAAATGAATATTTATATATTTTTAAATATATTTAAAACTATAACTACAAAATTATATTAGGGAGGACAATATAACTATTCCTAAAAAATTTTACTTCTACGTAAGGAAATTATTTAAGGCAACACATTGAATAAGAATTGAAACGCGGCAGCAAATAAAAAATTGGCTAAAAAAACATTTATTTGAACATACTGACGATATTGAAAACTTCAATCCACCTGCTGCTACGTGCGATGATTACGACGAAATGTTTTGATTTTTGATTGGGTCGAAGAATGTAACAAAATCAAAACATAAATCGATGCTGAAAGATCAAATTCTTTCTGGATATTTTTTCTATAAATATTGTAGGAAGCATTATGACGAATTTGCTTTAGGAAGTCGACGTTTGACCTTACAAACAGCGATAGCTGAAAACCTAGGTATTTCTATGTCATATGTAAATAGATTGCGTTGGGTAGGAATATTAGAAGCATTGAAAATTTTGCTCACGTCTCGCTCCTCCTCTATGAACTTAGAAAACAGAGAATGAATACAAAGTTGTTCTAACATCACCTCGACCCAGATCCCCTGTAAGAATTTACATATAAATTGAGGGCAAATTAAGAATTGAAAGAAAATTGGTTTTATTTATGCTCATTTGGAATTTAGTTATTTTTTCCGGTTGAATATTCAAAAATTCTTTTTGATTTTATAACTATTATTCAAGTGATTCATATGCCACCATCGATTATTACCGATATTTCCATATGCGTTCAATAAAAACTTAAGGCAATATTTCTATTGTCGGAATTTTTTCCTTTGCAGTTCCAGCACCCACCGCCCTGCCAACAAACTTAAAAAGCTGCAGAAAAAACTTTTATATACGCCAACTGGCTGTGTTGGAAATATTGCGATCAATTCAGACTAATTATTGTATCATTAAGTATAAACTGTATGGATCGATTAAGTGTGTTAGTTAATATTGACAATATTCTCCAATCGCCCCATTTATCTAAACTCTAAAGCCACGTCGACGTAGTCTGTAGAGGTAAGGCATCTCTAAAGAGCAGCGGCTCGGCGGCTCCCAAGCACAGCGAGCAGTCGAGTAAGCACACGTTCACACGAGTTCGGTTTACGGGAGTCGGCGTTGAGCATCGTACTAATCTTACTAATCTTTACTATGACTTGCTTCCTACTAATCTTTACCATGACCTGCTTGAAATATGTGCTTTCCGGGTTATTTACGAATAAATACGAATTTATTTACTTTCCGGGATACGAATAAAAATTCGTCTTTCTATCGCTTACTTCGATAGTGGAATTAAATTATTTAGGGAAATTTGCTTATACAGTCCGATAATTATTTCGATTTTAAGTCTAAATTTATACTAGAGTGGTCCTGGTATCTATTGGACGCAAAAGATTGAAGATTATGCAAGAGAAAAATAGTGACACGAAGTGGAGCAGGTAATTCACGCATGAAATTTCAAAATAATCGAGTGATATCAATTCTTATACCTATCACGTAAGAATGTTCTCGATAAAATATTTCGAATCAAACCGCTGTCGAAATTGGTGTAATGTTCACATTATGAAACTTCGATGCTTATTAGGCATTTTTCCGTAGCCTTTACTCTGAGCTGAACCATCGTTCGTTACGAATAAACGGAGGTTGTTTCAGTGGCTGTTTATTTGAATGTAGCAGCGTGTTCAAATAAAATTGTTGTTGGAACCATCTAATCATCACGGTGGTAGCACTAACTTCTGTCATTCGATGAAATTAATACTTGCAATACTTCAGTCAAATATTTTAAAATTACTCTCGAGCTTAGTCCTCTCCTACAGCTCAACGGTAGAGGCTCTGCTTCGCGTGTGGGAGACCGGCGTTCGAATCCTGCAGGCAAGGAGTTTCTTCAACTCGATTTCTCACGAGGTATGTGTATGGTACTCTGAAAATTTGTTCCCGCTACATGTCTGACATTGTTACTTGTACTATCGTGGTAGATCTATGTACGCAGCCCTTACAATGCTGATTGTGTGGAACTATGTCAGTAAATACATAAGCATCGGATTAGAAACTAAATTAAAAATTTTTTAAGACTTCATTTTAAAAAGTGGCCATCGGTGGCTCGTCAATGTGCCACTGGTGCCAATGGGTAGTTATTTGCGGAAGAAGAGCTTTACGGGTAGGGGGGCCATAGGCAGGTTATAGGTGTGGCAAAGGTGGTACACGCCACCCTTAATTCACTGTATAAATCATAGCTGCTCCACCTGTGGCGTCCGCCTATAGCCATCTTAAAAACATAGGTGCTCCACTCTTAATTTTTATTTGGGTACCATAATCGGTTCAACAAATTACAACAAATTTAAGCTCAATCAATTGAGAAAGCCAAACCGCTTGCAAATCATATCCTCCTAAAATTTTTCATCGATGGAGTTTTATGAATCTTATAGCGGATATTCTGCGCTTGATTCTAAATGCTAAGTATTCATTGAATTAGCCATTTGAGTGAACAACCAGAGGATGGCAAATGTTCGCCTTCTCTTAATGCATCATCTGAAATAATGTATCGGGCAGAAACAATTTCCAACAGCTTCAAATGCATATATGACATGTAAAGACGAGCTACTAGTAGAGTAATTCTTGATAACCCTGTCAGGCCTGTCTCCATAGAGCCTGGCGCACAACTGATCAGCGAGCGAGGAAAGCCTTCTGGCTGCTGAAAGGGGGGCCGGGGCGCGGTGGAAGAGGTTGGGCCAGATGCGCTTCTGCCTGTGGCGTGTGGTGGGATTACGCCAGTCAAATGCGGAGCAGAGAAGGTTTACGGTGATCCGGCGTGGTCTGCGGATAGTAAGGCTTACAGCACTTGTGAGATGTGATAGTATGAGGAAAAGTTTTGTGGAGTAGGACCTGTTGACAATTAACTAATTGATGCAGCAGGTTGTGGAGTGAGGCAGCTGTGAGTTAGAGTTGGTGTGGTGAGATGACTCCGTTACCTACAGCTTCTTGGGTGTGAGGCTGAGTTTAGTTATTGCATTATGAGGGCAGGCGTTGGCGCTAGGGCTTGTTTACGAGTTAAATTTTTGGTCCAGGGCTGCGCTAACAATAAACATTCTTATAATTAAATGGGATGGAAGTTCAATGAGTCTTATGCAATAACGGAAAAATATAATTATAATTATAATCAATAATCAGCAATATGACAACAGCAGGCAACGACCAAGCTTACAGTATTTCTTATCTATTTAATTATTGGGTTTGTATGCGTATGATCTAATAACCGACGATTGAGTGAATTATTAGCGCAATTTATTCCACGAAATTGTTACATTGCAACTCAACCTAATATTCTTGCCCTTTTCTAGTAATTGTTCATTTTCAGCAATTATTGAAGGACAGTTATTTTCTAAACTAGCTATTTGAAATTTAGGAAGTACTGAAGATTAGGCATCAACTTGATTATTTTACCCGATATTTTCATTTTATAATTTTAATTATTTTAGTTGTTTCGTATTTTTTCCCGAAACAAATAAGTAAACTAATGAAGTTTAAATAAATTAAATCGCTTACTCTTCCAGTTTAATTTTTCCTGTCCAAAAAGAAGTTTTTATATAATTTAGATATTATACGTAGAAATTTCTTTAAGAAAGATTACTATATAGAAGGGCCAAAATCTTATGTTTTAAATCCAAAGTTATACTGGAAAGCAGAAAAAATTGTGATACATTATTATAGATAATTTCCTTCCAAAATGTCCATTATTTTTACTAAGTATTATTTCAGTAACAAATCATTAGAGTTTGACACGTTAACGGAAATTTGTTGAATTCGATGCACAAAGAATGATTTGAATTTAAAAAACTATCTATTTCGTTTTTCGTCATTGACTTACCTTCACTGAGAATTTTCTTGTTTTCAACGTAGAAGTCGATGCATTCATGGATGTAGCAATACATCCTCTGCGGGACAAATTGTTTAATAGATTTGTTGTGTTTTTACTTATTGAATAATTTTTATGGACATGCTTTTTATTTAAACTATCAATAAGCGTGCTCTAAATGGACAATAAGTTGCATTCAATAAATATATATGATTACTGAAAAAGTTCCTCAGGAGTGATTTAAATAACTTTTCAGAGTGATGACGATTTGCTTTGCGCACGGTTCATTGATATATTGGATATGATTACATATACATACATCTAAGATCACAACAATATGCGTCCAAGACCAGACAGCATTTAACTTCAATAGCCAATTCTGAACCACAGTATTATACATTGTAAACGTAAAAAAATCCACAGTTCAACGCATAATGCATAACATTCGGTTCANCCGCTCTTTACGTACTATCCTCAAATCAGATGAGGTACCTACCCTCCAGCAGGCATTTGCCGTTGAAACTATTTTGATTGCGAGTTGATTTCGTTGGAACAAAGTCTTAGCAACGCTATTTAAAAGTCAGATGCCAGGTTTAGCTCTGGTTTAGCCATAGAGCTACTCCCCAAGCAAAATTTAGATGGAGGGGCGACTCTGAAATAGGGAACGCCTAAAACTAAGGAAGCACGTAAATCAGCTTCTCTATGTCCGCTTTTTGATCAACATTCCTATCTCAAGTCAGACAGTTACTTAATTACGACAGTCTGGCCCCGACTCTGGCGACTACTGAGCGGTTCGCTTGGGAATATTCCCCGTATCGGGCTGTGCAATGATTTAACTTATTAACTTAGATTATTTGAAGCTGATGTTTTGACAACATCTCCCGAACCATAGAAAAGGCTTGCTTCCAGGTTTTCTTCATTCGTTGTAATTGGGCAGTCGGCCGCTTGTACCTATGGTAAGCGCTTAGGTTTTCTATTGAATAATACATAGAATGTGTACTTGAAATTAATTGTAAGAGTTGCGTTATAATTGTTTGATATCTCGTTACTAGTACTGTGTATTTAAGCATGTGATTATTTAATTGTAGGTATAAGAGCCTGGAGTACTTCCCTCCTCTGTCGCTCCGTTCTTGCTTCTGGACTCCTGCAATAAAACTACGTCTGAACTGAATTCTGTTGACCTACAAGTAGAAGAAATGTTGGTTGGCACTTAATTCTGGAACCTATAATGAAAGGAACCCGTTGGCGTCATTACAGGCAGCTCTGGCCGAGTCTGACAATGTGATAAAAAATGGCCTTCCCTTCCTCTGCAGTGAGGGGAACGAATGGACAATTGAATTTATACGTGATTTATTATTAATGCTTTTTCAGTAACTCTCTGAATACAAAGAACATGCTGAGAAAAGTCAGAATCGTGGGTAATAATGCTCGTGGAAAAAACATTTTTCCCCCACAACTGAAGAAATGATGCAAAAAGTGATCGATAATCAACTAATGGTATACCAAACTAATATCAGTGTTGTGTATATAGTCTTTGCTATGAGGAACGCTACCACATCAAAACTTAAGAAAGCATTGGAAAACGGAAGAATAATTAAACGATGATGCTTTCAATTTTAGATTGTGTTGAATTAACTGATAACGGCTTTCCACTCTATGCAACCTTATTGGTAAGCATTTACAGCCATAGAGAGCATGCAGTTGTCTAGTCAACATCGGTAAGCAGTGAAGAGTTAATACGAGATTGCACTAAGCTCAACTGCAGTCCGGCGTAAGATGAACGACGAGCTGCTCCCAAGTCTCGAATGCGGGGCTGCACGATGTATAGCCTGAGCCTCATCGCAGCACGCTACGACGATGCATGTGCTACACATAATTTTTCAAACTAACTGATGACGACTATGGTCTAAAATAGAATTTTCCTTTCTTGACTGCACAAGCTAAATTTTCAGTTTCTCAAATAAATACTAATTTATAAAAAAATACACAGTTAAAATTAAATCCATTCCTGGGATTGATGAGCCGTACGCAACGTCAACTCTGGTTCTTCGCTGTGCTGAGAAAGGTTTGCTCGCATTTCCATCATTCGCAGAAACTAAATCGTGATTTTTTGTTAGCCTTCCAAAAACGCATTTTTTGAATAGTTGTTCCCAAACTGCGGTAAGCGGAAAATTCCAGGAGAAATTTTGGGTGGAAAAATGTTACAAATTGTGTAGGTTAGGCCAGAAGAGGTTGGGCCAGATACAGTATGGCCATGCTTACCTTTTTGTGGTTGTGGACATTCGGTGCTATGGCTTTGAGCACAGTTAGGCCTGAAGAGGTTAGGCCAGAGGAGGTTTGGCCAGATGCAGTATGGCCATGTTTACCTTTGGTAAGCTTATTTTATGGCTGTGGACATCCGGCGCTATGGCTTTGAGCACTTGACTTCAGAGGCCGTTTTGCACTCTAGCGTTCTTACCTATGGAAAGAAATGTAAACTAAGTGTGAAGTTTGGCAAAGCTGGCCTTTGGCATACGCCCCCTTGAAGGGCAGCCTCTGAGCAATTTATAGGCTTGGTAGGCTTGGCCAAGCCCACAACTTGCCATACTGTCAGGAGACTATAATGTCGGCAAGGTGATTGGCTAGTCGTGATTGCGATCGAGTGCCAAGCAGACCCAGAATAACCTTAACCCAACTATAATGAGTCTGCAGAAGACTCATAATCATACCTTAAATTTTTTTAGGGTCAAGCCGCCTTCCGTCTTCACCAGGACGACGGTGGTGGTGGTGTGCGTGGCCTCCTCCTGCCTCTTCTCCTTGACGCTCGCCTCAATGCCGTTGTTGAACACCCAGCGTCGGTCCAGAGGCAGGTAAGGGGCACACTGAAAACATCATTAATTTTGTGATTTTCTTTAATCAGACCAGGACATTCTGCACTGTTATCAAACACTGGGTTATTGAAACTTGACCTGATAGAGTTATTTAACACACACTGTGTTTAGACTGGCAACATTGATTAAATAAGGAAAACTCTTAAACTTGGCAATGAAATTCCGCACTGGTATTAAACTTTGAGTTGTTGACACTTACAAGCGGTATTAATTTAATATTATACATTTAGATCATAGACCTAAGGTATCTTACATTGTAATAAACATAAAAGTTCAATACTGGGGTTATAAGTAAAAAATATTTAACTTTTCAATTTCAGGTTAAATTTTTCACAAGTCTTACGCCCATTTGTTTGTTTCCGAGATTTCTGTCATCCGCAGACAGCCGGACGATGATGGACACCTGATGCTCCCACACCATCGACCAGAAGAGATCGTCATCGTCAGTCGTTTGCTGTAGGTCTTGAGTTGCTATGAAGCCGCCATCCTGGAGTTCAGGTGAACAGTTATTAGGGCAAATTCATTTACCAAGTGGAATATCGCTTTAGAAACACAATCGTGAAAGGTTTGTTCCAGAGCACAGAAGTATTACGGTATTGTTCCTTATTTTCATTGATCTATTCAGTGCAAGAAAACAATATGCCAGAATTCTCAGTGCATTTTCAAAATGATAAATTCGTTTTATTGCATTACGCTTACATCAATTAATTGTAGTTTAATCGATCGAATATTCAATTCAGTGCTCACCACGCGCTCGCAGTCTTTCTCTATAAATCTTGAACTGATGATGGAACTGGTTTACTCAACGACTTTCATTTACAACGTTTTTAGGATTTCGTTTAGTTTTAAATTGCGAACTTCATTTTGAATAGAAGCAAAATCAAATGATCCACACGCGCAACATTATTCGAGGTTCTCAGTACCACAGAAAAATTATAAGCGAGCTAAGTATAGGACGTGCAGATTTTTGCAAATTTTTTATGAAATGTTTTGTTGCAAATTCACGTATGAAAAAAGTTAACTTATATTAATTACCATTAACTTTGATTATATTAAAATTAATTGTATTAAATACCATTAATATATTCTAAATGAATTATTAAAGCTGACCGTTTCTAAAAAAATCTTATTCAATGCAGGCAACATCATCAACGAAACTTACGATGTGGGACGCGTTGATGTATTCCCCTGACTTCAACTTCACGCGGTTTTCATCAACTGGTGCATAAGAATTCGCTATTAGATTACAATTTTACATCAAATTCGTTATTTTCATATTTAAAATTGAAAGAATGAACCAAGTCGAACATTTGTTCAAATGAACCCGAAAAATTTATAAAATGTCTTTGACACAATAAGAGCTCTATCCCGCCTTTTGTTTGATTTATATTTCTAGCATAAACATTTACAGAATCGAAATTAATCTGTCCTTACTATTTAAAAAAGTGTGTCAGTATGTCTACTTTTTAATAAAGTATATACATGAAGCATATCTTCAGCTGGGGTGGAGGGGTCAACAAAGGTATCTCATATTGACTACCCGCGTCCGAAGACATCTGCGTGTATCGCTGGTCAGCTAGTGGGATATTGCCTGCCGTGTCTCTTTCAATTTTATTAGATGGTGATTCAATATGTTTTGCCGGTGCCTCCTTGCAGCAAGACGCGCCAATTTGGCGTCTGAAGTAAATTAGAAGACCCAAGACCATGAGGAACAAAGAGATACCCACTAGCATGCCCACGATCAACCCGATGTTTGGCTCTGTCATGAGATAATATAAATTTATTTTAGAAATATTAATGTTTCACGGGCATTTAAATAATAATGAAAAATATTCGTAGAATATACTAAATTGCGAATTCGTTGTGGCTGACATTCGTTCAAGCTACCTTACTACAAAAACCATTTCTACGAAACTCGTGTTGGTTGCGTCCCATATAGGGAAAAGTCCTGCAGTAGTTTGTAAACACTATCATCCAATGTCCACAGTTTCTTGCGACGAAGCTGTCAGTCATTCGTGATTAAAAATTTTCATTTTGTATGTTTTGAATTTATTATAATCGTAAACTTTCAAGAGATTTAAATACTTCATTTTGCCTCATCACATGACAGAGTAATGTATTAGGTGCATAAATGAAATCATTTAATTTTAAAGAAAGGATTCGCTGTCTGTAACGTACAAATTAAAACACTTAATTACTGATTCCTGGAACGAAAATGTAAGTGAGAAATTTTTGGTGCAGATTATTAGAATTATTTGAAGGTTGGTTAGGTGAGGTAATGAAAGCATGAACATCTCTCCTGAAGGAGGGAACGAGGAGGTCGACGTCGAATCGTTGTTCAAGTTCTTTCTGAAATTGTCATCTGTTGTCCAGGGTAAGGAAATGTCCGCATCAATAAGTATATCATATCCACCATATAATAATCTACCCGCTGAGCTCATTTTGATATTTTATTGATCGATCATCTCATGGGTTGATTTATTCAGAGGACGTCTGTTTTCCTCATAAATATCTCATAACATCTGGAATTTGTTTTTCTTTTTTGGACTATTAGTTTCATCTAAGCGTGTTGAGTGAAAACATTCTGTATCTTGGAATTTAAGGTTTGACGTCTACAGTGTGGCTATGAAAACGTCGCTGTAATATTATTAATAACTTCCCTACACACCCTCTTCCCCACTCACCCTCTTCCCCACTCACCCTCTTCCCCACTCACCATCTTCCTGCGTTACACAATAGGTTGGCAGTGAAGGCTCCCCCTTCCCAGCTGCAGTCGCCGCCACAACAGAGAAGGAGTAGTTGCTGTACGGCGTCAAACCAGCGATATTTATCGTCGTAGTCTTGGAATATGCAGAATTAACCTCCAAGGTTGCGTGGTTTCCCCACATGACCTGACCGCTGTACACAACGGTGTAGTTGACGACCTCGCATTTAGTGGCAGGTTTGGTCCACGTCAGAGTCACGCTACGACTTGCCACGGATGATACTTCAGGAGGTGATCCCGCTGGCGGTACTAGGTGTAGGAAATCATGCAAGGAAACGTCAACACTTCTCGCAAACTGCCGACCTTCCATCTTGTGTGTATTTTTAATTATCAAACGATGAAAGACGAAATATCATGATAATATTCAGTTATTTATTGTTATCCATTTATTATAAATATAAATTAAGGCTGTTAGTTTCAAGATATTCACCCCCGCTTGTTGAAGATAAATAACTAAATTTCAAATTATATATATATATAATTATGACATGGACATCGTCATGTTGAAGGTTCTCGTGCCGAGAAGCTCTACTTTTTGCACGTTTTAAACAAGATATAGCGTTGTCGTTTGCTTTCTGATTTGTATAACGATTAAATGTATGAGATAATTTGGTATTGCTTGACTTCTGCTGCTGCTTTTGTAAGTGTTTACTCTTCAGTATCAACTCGATGATAAATGCACACTCCGCTCACCATCCTGCAGGGTGTAGGCTGCTGCGGACGCTGGGGTGCCAGTGTTGATCTGAGTGCTCCCACCCAATGCCTTGGGCTGCACCGTGACGGTGTAGAGAGTGCAGCTGTCTAAGGTCGGGTATACATCGCAGGCCGAGGTGCTGGTAGCAGACGAGTTAACGTAACACGATGCAGTAGCGACGCCTACTCCATCAGGTATCCATGATACCAGGTACCTAATAACTTCACCAGTTGGCTCCTGCAGCTCCCACGTCGCGTCGATCATCGTTTTTTGTGGATAAAGCTTCAGTTGGCTCACCACGTCTGGTTTGAGAGGTGTTACGGAATTAAAACTGCCCTGAAATTCAGAAGTGGCCTGAAGCTCTTAAATCAACGAGCCCGAATTTTAAATTTCTCTTATATTCGTATTCTGTCCTCGCAATGATGTATAAGCTATGTATATTGGTAATAACTTCCCCACTCACCCTCTTCCCTACTCACCCTCCTCCCCACTCACAATAGTTGAAGCAATGCATAATAAATGAGCCTTTTATAATTATTCACATCCAAACAATTTGATGAATTTTGAGAACCCAATTGGATACTTGTAAGTTTTTGTATCGATTTATCAATATTCATTAATATTTCCATCCATACTAAGTTTTACCATGAAAATTAAGGACCGTTCATTTTTTCAAGACGGTGTCTTTTTACAATATTAATTGTATTACAATGCTTGACCTGCAAGTTTTAGCATATATACTAATAATTATAAAATTCTGTAGATTAGCAGAATGTCTCAAAATATATATCCGGGTTAAAACCTATTTTATGACGATGTGTTCAAATGTCACTTCAGCCTATACCATTCGCATCGGTATAAGCGTTTCAATTCCATTTTTGTCAAAATACAAATAATTTTCTGACGAACGAATTTACAATATTTGGAACTGCGATGCATAATCCAACGCGAATATATAGTAACCGATCAAGCCCTGACTTAGGAGATCCCCTCATGACTGGACAGAAAAATGTATCACAGAGGCAGACGAACAACTTGCGTTGCAGGAAATATGTCGTCTTTATTCTGAAGAAGTGAAGTGTTGAGACTGCTTAGATCTTCGCATTGCAAATTTGATCGAGACATTTCTCAGGAAGCCGAGAAATATATTTGGTAATGCAACTGCGACCTAATTTCATCCAAATTTTAACTTGCACAAATATTTTGATCTAGTCTTGCACAGTAAAACTTTGCAGAGAATGAGTGCTGATAAATAAGTAAGCACAATTAATAAAGAAATAATTTGTTTTGTACCGGAGTGTAACTCGTTTATCATAAAATATGTACCTGCGAATCGTTGTGTTCATCTATTCTAACTCATACTTAAGTTGCCCCACTAACTCGTCATCATCTTGCCTCACAATGTTTCCCACTCACCCTCTTCCTCACTCACCCTCTTAACCACTGACCCTCNAATATTCTCACTATGCTGTAGTAAAGTTACGAGTCCAAATAAAGATAACCTTGATGAATATTTTGTGAACAACTTCCTACAACCACGAAACTACAGGAGGTGATCCCGCTGGCCGTGCTGAGGTGTAGGAAATCAAAAAATGTCAATACTTTTCCAAAACTTCCGACCTTCCATCTTCTGTGTATTTTTAATTATCAAACGATGAAAGACAAAATCTCATGATAATTTTCAGTTATTTAATATTCTCCATTTATTCTAAATATAATTAAAGGCTGTTAAATAATTGATATTCACCCCCGCTTGTTACAGATAAATAACTAAATTTCAAATAATATGTATATTTAATGATTGCCATGGACATCGTCATGTTGAAGGTTATCGTGCCGAGAAGCTCAACTTTTTGCACGTTTTAGACAAAATATAGCGCTTGTCGTTTGCTTTCTGACGATTAATTGTGTGAGATAATTTGGTATTGCATGACTTCTGCTGATGCTTTTTGTGTTTTACTCCTCAGTATCAACTCTATGATATAATGCACGCCCCGCTCACCATCCTGCAGGGTGTAGGCTGCTGCGGACGCTGGGGTGCCAGCGTCTGATTCAAAGTCCCCATCTATTGTCCTGGGCTGCACCGTGACATTGTAGAGAGTGCAGCTGTCTATAAGGTCGGGTACATATCACAGGCCGAGGTGCTGGTAGCAGGCGATTCAACGCCACATTCTGCTGTAGGGGCGCTGCTTCCCTCAGGTATCCACTTTACCACGTACTTATTTATATACTTAATATCTTCATATTCATCATATATTGTTGGTTCGTGCAGCTCCCACGTCGCGTCGATCATCGTCACTTGTGGGAAAAGCTTCAACTGGCTCACTACGTCTGGTTTGAAAGTGGTTAAGGAATTAAATCTGACCTGAAAATCGGAGGTGGCATGAAGCTGTGCAATCAAAGAGCCCGAATTTTAAATTTCTCTCATATTCGTATAGTGTGCAATGATGAATAAGCTAATGCTAATGGCTAAATTTCACCTTCAACAAATTTGTTCAAAGTGTCGCAATATGATAAGTGATCTGGCTGGAGTAAAAATTGTCAGTATAAACGACTGATGAAGAACTATTTCCATATCTATATCATTTAATTAATATTAATTATCGGCTATGTATTAAAATAATAGCATGAATTACGATACGCACCTTTTGCCGCCCGCACCGTCTGGATCTGCACAAGGACGAGGAATGTCCTCAATGAGAAGTGCTGTGCGAATGGCAACATGGAGAAGTTTCAGCGAAAATTCTTCTTAGAAGTTAAATTACTTCTAACGCAAAGTGTACGATGTTTTTGTTTTGCAAATCATGCAAACAGTTCCACATGAAGCTAATTTGAACATTAATTTCTTAAGTCAGAAATTTTTCATATAATGTTCATTCATGAAGCACAAAGCAGTTAGGTCTTCAGGGAAAATGAAATGCAGGAACTATGAAACTTAAGTTAAAGAGTACTTTATAAAACTCAATGATCAATAATTATAAACCAACGCTATGCTAACCTGGAGAGTGGAGGACACTAGCAGGCAGCCCAGGTACACCAGGCTTCGTGACAACTCAACCATCGTGCTCTACCTTCTTTGCACTGCAAGCGTTAGTTTTTCAGAATTCACTTCACGGTTCATAACAGACAAAGCATGGTATGCATATAACACAGAAGGAACAAACTGTGAGCGAATGCAGTACATAACCTACTCAGTGGGAGCGTGAAACTGATATAAGAGTGTACCTTGGTTCTTACTTTACAACCTTTGTAAGCCTTTGTAGATAATGCACAATTTAAATGTTTTATTATAAAAGTGTTGTATCATCGAATAAAAAACAATTTCCTGCTGTGAGCCGAGTGATATCACTTCCTTAACTGTAGGTATTTTGATCTATGTTATCGTTATCAGCTTAATTTAGGCGCTTGAACTCTTCTCTCCGAAAATGATAATTTCGTAGCTGGCGATGTGTTAGGGCTTTAGTGCTCTATAAATTAATCTCATATATTTCAAATTTATAAATTATCATGAGTACGTTTGTAGCGATTAGAATCCTTAATTGTTTAAACCCTTGCTTCGGTTGCTCATCACTCTAGCTGAAACACGACATATAGATACTAAAAATTATGTTTTATTATTGGTAATGGTTATAAAACAACTGTAGCTCAGTAGAAATTTCTTCAGCTTTTATTTAAGGAGATTAACGGATCAAATTTGCAGTCAACTTTGTTTCTTGCTACTAGTTGAACGGTGTGGACAAGGCTTGGTCTTGGTTCCGTCTTCAATATAAAGAAATAGAGTCAGCTGCAGCGTAGTCTGCGTACACGTGAATCGCACGTAAGCTAGGCACCGTCGACTCGGGTGGTTCTGAAGTAGATAAAATACTCTTGAATTGCTGCTGACAAAGAAATATAATTAATTAACTTGCGAAATAAGCGAGATATAATTGGAAATAATAATTCAATAGTCAATGAGTACATATAATTACCTTAAATGAAAAATCCACTTAAGAGGCTGTTGTCGAGTAATGCGCCGAGTTAAGGTAGTAAGGATTAGCCCAGTGACAGTATAAGTTAATGCATGCGGCTAAATAGAATTAATAATAGTTGCTGAGAAGCAACTTAAGATTTTAATTTGAACAAACTGGGCCAATCAAGTGTATAAGAGAATGGCATGCAAATGAATGAGGTTGATGATTAAGAGGAGGAAATTTAAGGCAAGACTCGCTGGCAAAACCGGCGGCTGTCAAGGCTCGTTCTTTTTCTTCTAGATTAAAGGTATAGAGCGAAGTAAGCTCTTTCTTCACTTTAAGAAAGATGGAAATTCTAATTATAAATTCTAACATTTGAATTTTCTAAATATCTATCAATTAAATTTCTAATATTATCGACGAAGAACAGGAAAAATTACAGATTCAAAACTCAATTTCTTTCGATAAATGCACATCTCCATAATATTTCAGAGATAATGTTAATGAAACCGTAGATAATTGGATAAAATCGTTGATAATTAATGAAATCGTAGATAACTATCATGCACAGTTGGATTTTCAGGTTGATAAGACTTAACCAACAGTTACATTTACATGGTAAAATATTTTTGAATAAGTGATGTAAATGAACAATTATAATTCGAAAACAATAATGTATGGAACGGAAATGCACAACAAAAAACAATTGTTTGCACACTTTGTCTCTTCTATTGATACAAGTAATACTTTGACCTCAGTTGCTAACAGTCAAACTCAATGGTTGTGTGCCGTCAGTAATTAGGATAACGGATTAACCGCCTTATTGCAGTAACGCAACTATCAAGACAAGATTAGGGACTTGTCTAATGAAACAAAATAGATGAAGGCAAGTACTGTTTACT